AAAATGGAATCGGAATCGTGAAAATCTTATCAATACCCATCCCTACTCGTGATACTGAAGGTTTTTGACAACACAGCTACAAGGCACAAAAAGCCCTAATGAACTAAAGTGTTGGTTACAAAAGTGATGCTGCTACTTAATTGGACAACTTCATCACTGGTGATGGTGTTCCTGTTGCATTCGCTGATGTTGAGAGAAAAACCGTGAGTATCACTACCCTTTGTCTTTAGGAGAACATTACAAAATGAGGGTTGGCTAGCTCTTCTCATTCTCCGTTTTACTTCAGGCAGACTGTTTGAGAGTCTGTGAAATTACCAATGTGAACCCAAAACAATCAAGAATAATATGCACACATGCAAAAGACTGCAGGCTACGCAGAGGGTCCATTGTTTCCGTATGCAATATTCTGTGTGCGCGTTTGTGAGAAGGCGTGTGTGGAACGGCGGGAGGGCAAAATAAAATATCTAAATTCACTGTAGCTGCGAGCAGTAAAGCACACGTTCACACATTCAGCCCAGTCAAACAGCTTTATAATATTCTGTGCCATACACAAACTGCTGCAACACACACACGCACACTCACGCTGTTTCATCACAGCAACACGGTGACACATATACACCTGTATACCCTCTGAAGGACACACATACACACATGGGGTAAAAAGCCACAACAATCAAGCGAGCTCACACAGAGTTATGTTGTGAGAGGCATTCAATTTCATTCCTGTCAAACATCACTGTATTTCTTTATCGCTTTTTTTTCTCCCCCCAATACCGTGCTTTGTGCGACTACACACACACAGATTGTACACACTCAAATGAGAACAGGGTCAGAATAGGTCAGAAAGCACACGTGATGAGCTGTTACAGCAATAACAAAAGAAAAGAGGAAAACTGAGAGAACAATTTGCCTTTATGCTAATGAACTCATTCAAAGGACAGACACCAGGCAGAGAATGGCTCGTTCATAATGACGCCGTGTAATCAGAGGAAAATGAGAGGAGTGAAAACAATGTGTAACGAGGGAGCACTGGGGGCACGGGGCAAAGCCTGCCCGTCAGTAGCTGCATTGAACGGCAGCCCTGTTGCTAACTATCACTCACGCAGGGACAGAGGCAGGTGGGTGGAGGATTTCTGACACGGCTAATAGCCGTGTCATGAGGAGGTCGCGCCGCAAGTCGTGCATAATAGTTTCTCACAGTGGAAGAAAGATACTCATACCTTAATTGCTTACATGCATTTTTTTCTGCTTCTTGATTTCAGCACTGATCTGTAACTCGTGTCAACTTTAAAAATTTAGTCAGACTTAAAAACGTCCACCTTATTTTGCCCTCTACTGACTCGGATCCCTCCACGATGGACCACCACATAAAATGTAAATCACACAGTGAAAGGGCAGCTCACGTAGTGCAAACAGCATTTGCTAGTCAGTAGACATGTCCCTCCTCAAATACACACTCAGCATTCAATCACTCGGTCCATTCGGGCAAAATATTATGATCCGGGGCACAGAAAGCGAGAGGAAGAGGAGGAGGGCTCACGAGAGGAGTTATGGAGAAGCTTCACCGTTCATCACAAGAGAGGCAGAGTGTTGCCTTGAACACGGACACAGACTAAAGACGCTATGATGTGTCTGCAAAGATAGACCCGGGGGCAGTATATCAATTTAGCTGTCCCTGACACCCCGGGAAGGCTTGAAATGGCATGGTGGATGGACAAAGCAAAGATAAAGCGCTGTACAGTCGATTGAAGCAGTGGAAAATAAAACACCTGAAAAGAGTCTCATGTAACACATCTGGTCAGGGCTGAAGGATGACGTGTTGCTTTATGTAGCCTTCGCTAAACTAAAGGTTTCTAATAACACACAGAAAGCAATTCAATCATCATATTGGTCTAAGAATGGGAGAAAACCCAACGGGTAATACAAAGCCTGCAGGAGCATGACTCTATTGATATTGACATTTCTGTCAATATGTCCACGATGTATGGAATTGTTTCTATTAATATAATTCATCATCTTTAGTGACCTGGAATCACATATACTGTATAACAGGAGACTTGTAGGTTTGTACAGATGTGTAGAAGCATCTGTTTTTTACATTTCTGATGGTGTTGACTTAAACCTTCAGCTTCCAGCCTCCTTCATGCCAGAAACCAGTGTAGTACTAGTCGCAGTTCCAGTTCATGGAACTGAGAAAACTGATTTCACATTTGCTCTAAAAGTTACACAAATAGAAGTTAACATATTTAATTGTGACAAAAAAAGAAAAAAATCTTCTTTAAAGTGTACTTTGATATTTTGGTTATATTTATATTGTTTTATCTGTTTTATTCGTGAGAGGCTCCCCGGTTTGTACTTTGTACTTACAAACAGAGTTTCTGAATATTTCTAAGGACGACAACTGAACTCAATTTATCCCAAAATACCTCGCAATCTTGTCACTGCAGGACATGGTGAGTAATCGCTCCCCTTGAAGAACACCGTCCCAGGTCTGGATGGTGTTGCTGGACCTTACAGGGATGGTGCCCTCCCCGGACTCGATTTTGGTCCTCAGCTGACCCCGCGCTTTCCGGTTAGGATGTCTGTCTCCTTGGTCTGGGTGGCACATAAGCAGAAGCACATAAAGGAAGAGAGGAGTGTGAGTTTAATTTACTCTTTTATATAGTTTTATGTGACACTCGTTTGATGTTTGGAACATTAAATCTGTTGGTGATAGAGTGATACAGTTTGTTTGATCAGGAAACATTAAAGAAAGTGAATGTGTGGGTGAATCTGTTTCTTGGTGTCATTCTACTTTTCTTCAGTTAAAAAGCAGGAAAAATGAGGAAACACTGTGGAGTGGGAACCTGTTGCAGTAGCTCTCTTTTGCTTTGAATTTCTTTTATTTTCATGATTTAATGCAAACTTTTCCTTTATCAAGTCTTGTCAAGTCGAGTTTTGCAAGCCTACTTGTGTTTCTTTCTTTATATTAGACTCTTGTTAATGTAAATCTCCACGAGCTGTTTGCACCTGAAATCCCAGAGGAGCTACCAAGGAAACGACTGGGCTGCAGAACAGTTTCAGGGATGATCATGGGGAAAGAGAGGTGTTTGGACAATAAGATGAACAACTTGCTGAGTAGACCCAGGGGGAACACTGTGGGTGTAGTCTGATGTGCTTCACGGTCTGCTGTAGTGAGATGCTGCCTCGCTCACACTTCCTGGACCACAGTATGAACATTGCTGGCTCCGGGACTTTTTGTGAGGAAGATTAATCTGAGCCGTGAAAAGAAACGATGGCTCTAGTTGCGACTGACAGTTGGTTTAATCCCAGACGTGTTACAGGTGGATCGATTCAGCCATAGCAGGCATTTATAGAAAATATGAATAAATTATCATGAATAAATTAAATCTGTTTTTGTGTGTTAACCTAAAAGTTTTGACATTTTCGGGAACATGAAAAACTTTCCTCCATCAGCTGATGTAGCGCTTATCCAACTGAGCATGGCTGTGATGGGATGTGGATAATTAACGGATCCAGGCCGTCCTCTGCATATACAACTGGTTTGTGTAAAACCAGTTAGAGCTCCACTCCCACAGTGACTGATACGGAAAATCTTTACCACAGTTTCTAGATTTACTGAATCGCTGTTTTTTTGCCTCTGTCAGTGCACCCCAGGGCAGCTGTGGCTACAATGTAGCTTGCCAACACCAGTGTGTGAATGTGTGTGTGAATGGGTGGATGACTGAATGTAGTGTGAAGTGCTTTGGGGTCCTTAGGGACTAAGCAAATGCAGGCCATTTACCATTTTTTGCATTTGCTGTTTAACCGAGTTCCATCTTTAGTGTAACATTGAACTTTTTAAGCTACCTTCTTCTTCTGTGATTTTAAATGTGTTTTATTGAACAAAGTTTTGCATGCTTTGGCAGCTTTATACATCCCATCCGTTGGGATGAATAAAGCATTTGCCTGTTTACACTCTTAAAGTGTGAGTCAAGGTTTTGACTCACACACTTTAAAACAGAAGTTTTGTCTGTTGTTGTTGTGTTTTTGTGAAAAAGTTATTAAAAAAAAGTTACATAAAACCTCAAATGCCAAAAAAATTACTTTCCCCATTTCTATGCTAATATATACAAAAATCTACCTCCTCAACATGCAAAAACAGAAGTTTTGGTGGAAATCTGTTACACTACCGATCCACCATATGTATTTAATTCAGTGTTTTTGCACTGCAGCTTAAAAAAGTTGCATCCTTGGCATGTACATTAATTTTTTATTCAGCTGTAGAGTTTTTTGTGAGCACTTAATGGTGGACAGACTTCCTCATTGAGAATTCTGACACATACAATTGCGAAACTTAAGTATATAATGGACTGTATAGTAAACAGGAGTGATTTTTGGCACAGTCAGTTATTCTACCGGCAGTAAAAACGGCTCCCACCCAGCGTGACCCGTTATTTATTATTATGTTATCAAAGTTTTGTGCTGTTCCACCAGCAGGCGCCATCTATTCAGTGACTAATTGAATCTGGCTGTTTTTTATTCAGCCTGCCATGTGCAACGGAAGACTCTCTGACAGGAGTAAGAGGGAGGTTAATCAGACAGACAGTGTGGGTGTGCTGGGCGGCAGAGAGACTGATAGCGGCAGACAGAGAATGACAAAAAGCTATAATTACTACTGCCTTGTTTAAATGTGTCTGTAATGTGTATTTGGACAGTGGAGTAAAATTCTAATTAATTGAAATGAAGCACGAGAGGAAAACGTACAAATTTAATTAAATTAAAAAAACAAAAACCTGTTGTCAACACTGAATACTAAGCTGGACGAGACTAAACTAAAAGAGCTGAGCTGGGGAGGAGACGCGAGGGCTGCGTACCTTCCACTCCGGCCTCGTGTGGAGAGAAAATCCTGGCATCTCCACAGGGAGAGGTGCTGATGTAGAGGTGGAACTGAACGTTATCCTTTAACCTGTAGCCTCCCTTGTCACACAGCACAAATATTGATTTGTGGTAGTCCTCCTTGTTGTTGCTATAACCACAGATCGATGAGAAATTGAAACAGAGGCAGACAAATGTCACAAAACCTGTATTTAAAACGGACATTCAAAGTCTAGAAGAAGAACAGAGAGCTGCAGGATTTAATTAGATTATCAAAAAAAAATAAACAGATTGACACCATCCACTGACCTGAGGAAGAACTCCAGCTGAGTGTAGAGGTACCTGATGAGCGAGCGTCGGGCAATTATCTCAGCGTGGCAGTCATTGAGTGCCAGGCCGCGGTCACTCATGTACTCACCGTTGATGCATTTGGTTCCCGTGGAGACACAAATGACCTGTGCTTCCTTCACATCTGTGCCTGTTTGGAGGACAGAGCTGTATTAGGGCTCGTGCTCCTAATGCAAACACTATAAATTCTGTTCTTATGCCCTCGATAAGTCACACTGCAAACATCTACACACTAGCTTATAAGTTGTTACTGTAGCAACCACATGATGAGCTTAATTAGGTTTAATGTCCTTGTCACTGTCTTTATGCTATAGGCAAAGTGACGGCATGGAAAGACGTGTAATTGAAGCAGTAATTGGTGGGGAATTGTAGTTTGAGAGTGAGGCAGAAAGGACCGTGTAGTCAGGATAACATGTCAACGTGGCGCGGCATGCGAAAAGCTGAGAATCCCAGCTGCGCATGAAAACAGTGATGCAATCATGAACAATTTAGCTTTCCAGTATTTCCAGTGTTTGCTATCTTAACTTCACTGTCTCCAAATATCTCGCAAATCTATGTCTAAAAAATGGGTTAGTTTATCGAACTGTTTCTGATGCATGAAATAAAAAGTGCCCCAAATCCTCATCAAGCCTTTCGGCAATGAGGGGAACCCCCCTCAGCTGAGCAGCAACGCACCCCAGGGGATGATGCTGAACCTTCCTGTCTTTGGCCTGCGGTGATAACGATGTGTGAACTGCGTTTGATCGACGGTTTCTTGTAAACCTGGTAGAGTTTTTTTTATTAGAAGTTAAATCATTTCTGAATGTGCTAGAAGTGACTACTTCTGCATCTGTGTCGTTACTAAACCGTAATAATTCAAAGAATGGACACAGTTTCACTTCTTTAAGTAAGAAATTCATAGAAAATAAAAAGATGGATACATGAATTTTTTTTTGCATGTTAATCTTTTGAAATTTGAAGAAACATAAAACATAAAAAATGTTGGACTTGAGCCTGGTTTTCATACCCTGTTTCACAAATTCAGTTATGGATAAGATTCCCATTTCTTTTGAATCAAGGCTACTAGAATTCAGCCTCTTTTAGCTGTTTTTGCTGTCTGTCACCTTGAGTGAATTATCTACCTAATACAGCTGCTAAACGTTCCACAGCGTTTCAGGGACTGTGTCTGCTTTTTGGTACTGAATAACTCATGGACGCAGTTTTGTTTCCAGCTGAAAGCAGCTCCCTCCAGCATCCGACAACACTGTTACAAAAGCAGCAAGAGATAAAACAGTAAAGGTGGAGGCCAGACAGCTAAATGGCAGTTTTTTTATTTAATTTATGCACAACCATCACACATATACATTAACTGAATATTTTTATTATATAGTTATTATACAGGTGGGGCAATTTTTAATGATTTTTTTTTCATATCAGTCGCTATTGCTATATATCATGATAACTAAAATCTTTCTCCTAAAGTTCAAGAAGACCATAAATAAAATGAAATTAAAATTTATTAAATGCTCCAAATTAATAACGCAGACATTAATGTAAAAACATGAAAATAATTAGCCCAATACAGTATAATTTTTTTGTAATGATTTAAACAAATTAAAATTGTTGGGGAGCAACCCCATAAATAAATAAACAACCACCATTCGGTACATACTCACAGCTCAAATTCCAATAAAAGAAGAACATAAATAAAACTGACATATTCACTCGGCTGCGGTCGGCTTATGCTTTGAGGCAAGAAATAAATAAGCAAATCAAAATTACAGACTGTGCGAGTGCGGTGTCAGGTGGGCAGCGTCTGTTGTAATGCGTGCTACAGGAGAGTGCGTCTGGGAATATGCAGTCTTGTATTTTGTGTTTTAAAGGACGATTTTGCTTCAGATGGCAAAAACTATCAGCAGTGTTGCCTAGCTTTGTGGAATCTTGTTTTTAAAATAGTAACAAATGGATGTTAAATTTGCATTTTTATGATATTATTAGAATATTAATATGATTCTTAAATACTTTTACTGAACTACATTAAATATTTGAAGTACTGCCTGGCTGGTTGAAGGCTGATACAAAACAGCGGATGTCAAACTTATTAAAGTTGTCACATATGATTAAAAATATATAATCAAGGACACATTATAAGGCTATACAAATATAAAATCTTAACCAGGACCTACCACGCTCATTATTATTCTTTTACTCTAACAGAGCAGCTTCATATGAATCACTGTTCAAAATACAACCTTTCCATATTTCCTTGGCATTTTTGCAGCTCCTCTATCCTGGTCTGAAAGAAGGTATATTGACTCCGCCCTCTTCTCTTTAAGCTAACTTTCATCTGTAAATGTAGCTTTTAAACAGCAGGCGGGTGGAGTTTCTGTTCTCACAGCTTGAGGTTGGTGTTTGAGATGACCACATTAGGGATATCGTCTCTAAGTGAGACAGAAAAACCGTAAGCGAGCATTTAGGGCACTTTGAAGCCTGAACCTTCTGGCTCACAGGGTTTTTTTTTAAAAAAAAACATGCTTACTATGAGCATCCAGCATCCAGTAAATATGCCTTCAGCTGTATTTGTTGTCAGCTGCTTTTTCTGGGCTTATAACCACAAAATTCCCTCTGATGATGTTCTGAAACTGCCTTTGCTGTGCACAAACGTGCCAATAATCTCTTCCTCCACTCTTACCTGTTGTCATGACGACGCCTGCCAGCACTTTTCGCCGTGCATGCGGGGACGTAAAGTTGTCTGTCAGCTCACTGAACTTATCCACAACAAGGCGAGAGACCGCATCAGCCAGAACCTGGAATTACACACACACACACACACACACACAAAGGCAGACAGAACAACAGGAAGCCATGCACACATGCAGACACACAAACACGAGCTTGTGTCAGATATGTCAGCTTACAAAGCATGTCTGATGTTATCCTCCCCTAGAGCACTGTGTACCTGTCACAGTGTTAGCTTTGGCTTCAAACAGCACTCGGAGCGTTGAAACAGCAACAAGTGAAACTAGGCTGACCCCCTGAGGTATACCTAACCATCTTTCAAGCAACGCTGTTTGAGTTCTGTCTGACAGCTATAATTTACCATCTCCCTCGTGACAGTGAATCACACGGCAAAAAAAGAAGAAGAGCAAAGCAAACAAGCAAACCTGAGCAACAGATGCTCGGCGACACCCCACAAAGGTTTAAAAATCGAGTCCAAGTTATGTGACAACTTCACAAGTCTTCTGTTCATGGACGCGGCTCCCCTAGCTGCTCTTTATTCATCACTAATGTGATGGAAAATGACAACGAGCATGAGGAGAGATGACGCCTGGGTGATCGCAAATTAAGAAAATTAGTCCCAATTTTACTTCCCTGCTACTTCAGAGTCACCCGCTCGTAGCCAGACCATTTGACTTTTTCCGAACGCCAAGGTCATCTATGACTTTTATTCTCTAGGGGTGTAAAAAATACACATCTTTCCTCTGCGTTTCACCAAAACATGTCCAGAATGGTTTGGTAATAAGCTACTGTCTAATATTTTCTTTGTTGCATACTGAATCATTTTTAAAAAAAAAAAAATTGTCATTATTTTTTTTGATTTGGTTGGAGTTTCTATGCAGCGGCACATGACCCATTATACCATGGCAGATGGAAACAGGCTGCAGAAATTAAATATCAAGCGACAGAGAATTAATAGAGCAATTAGTGGGGACGCTATCGTTAAAACGGGCTGCTTGCTGAACGAAACAGTTGACATGTGGAGAGCGCGAGTAAAGAAAAGGGAGGAGGCTTCGGGGAGGGGACTGTTGACAGTGTGTCGTGCTGATTAGCTTTGCTGCCTGTGTTATCTCTCTTCACACACTGCCAGTCACCTCTACAGCGGCATCTAAAGGTACCGCCTTCCTTTAGTCTCTGCTAACCTGGTGTGAATGAGATTTCAACGATAACCTCGCAGAACAACAAGAGCTTGACAGGCGGATCAATTCGAACTCAACAAGCTACAGTGGAATGAGTTCACTAGTCAAGTTATTTTATTAACAGCCTTTAATTCAAGGATCTTTGGCCAATATGTAGTGTTGGAAGAAAAGCAGATTTTTTGAAACTTTACACCTCCGTCTGCTTCCAAAACCAGTCTCAGATTTGATTAAGTGATTAGACTTCTGTCTTTCCCACTTCTGCAATTTTAATTAGAGTTTTAAAGCTATGTACAATTGACAACAACTGACTTAACAAAGACAAATTTGGCCTGATATGGAGTTGGATTCCCTCAAAGGCAAGTAATGAAATGGAAAAGATCTAGGATCAGCTATCGCTCCCTGGAATTAAAAACAGTGCAGAATTTTCTGAATTCTTCCAGCAATAAACATGTTCTTATCTGCAATTTCTCAAAATCAAGACTTTATATTGATCGCCCCACAATGTAACTCATGACCTATGCAAGCATTAAGTGGAACAGTATGTGAGGAAGCACGAGTCCATTGTTTATCCTTATGCATTATAAAACAGTCCTGTGTAACTGATACCCACTGGTGCATCTGATATTTTTATGATGAGATATGATAATGCATGTGTTTTTTTTAAATAATAAGGGTATTAATAACAAGTCTGTCGCAGATATAAATGTATAATGAAGAGCCTAAAGGCATGATGCAATCAGAAAATCCTTAGATGATGTGTTTCTTTGGCTGTTTGAATTCAAAAAAGAAACCTCTTACCTGGGGTAGGTGAAGCTGCAATCCCTCTCTTGGTATGGGTTGCCGAGATGGTGTCTGGTCTAGCTGCATGTTGAACAGTGCAGACAGAGCGGCTTGCGCTGCCCGGGCTTTAGCCAGCTTCTTGTTGCGCCCTGATCCTTCAAATGTCTGTGAATCCACTGTTACTGACATCACAAAATTCTTGGCGTGACTCTCACCGCTCTCTGAGACAAAGTCATATTTGAGACCCGGCCTAAGCTCATTGAGGATCATGACTGGGTTTTTGCCACTGGAGGGCGAGCTGAATGCAGATGGAGGGGGCAGTGGGGGCTGGACAAGGATACTGCCAGGTGGTGTGGGCAGTGGATACTCCCCTAGTGAATTTAGGGAGCTGCTACCGTTGGAGCCCAGATAGAAGGATTCTTCCGGTGCGGCTGGCGTCTCAAAGCCGTTGAAGAGCATGTCGGGGAAGTCAGCTTGATCAGATGTAAAGTCTGTGTTCACTGTCAGCGTTCGGCCCATGGCCAGATGCGCCTCTGAAGCGTTGGGGAACTGGACGAAGGAACGCAGCGCTTTCTCAGCTGCGTTTAGCTTAGCCTTCTTCTTTGTTGGGCCCATGCCTTCAAACATCTGTCCATTGACCTCCACGGTCATGACAAACACTGGCGCATGCACCGGGCCTGTCTGAGACAGCAGTTTGTACTGTAGACCTGGTTTGATTTCATTCAGCTGCATCAGAGCGTTCTTGGGCAGGACCGGGCCCGGCGTTTTCTTGCGCTTCTTAGCCCGGAACTTGGAATGCGTGTGGCCATTGTTTCCCTCTTCTAGCGGTCGCTTTCGACTGCCCAGGCCACTGCCATTGGGGAGCTGTTCAGCCACTCCCACCCCGTCTTTGCAGGACACGTTGTCCAGGTTTCGGTTTTCCTTTACGTCGGTGCTGCTTGAACCTGCGGTGCCCAGAAAGAGTAACTTACAACGCCTTCGTTGCAGGATCTTGTAAATGCAAAATTTATAGATTCCTTTATCACTCTTTGGAACTGAACCAATGATTTGTGTTCCTGTGTCAAGTTGCAAGAGAGGCTGAATTTTTAACTACCTCCAAAAAGATATACCTATGATATAACTACAAATAGCAGAACATCGGTACATGTTTTTACCTTGAAAAATGCTCAAAACTGTATCTTTGCCAAATTTCTGAATAAAAGTATTGCTTCATTTTATTAATTTTTTTGATCAAGGAGTCTTTAAATTGGAAATCAAAACGTTACTTTTTTCACAATTAAAGTTTAAGATTGTTCTACTAAGAAAAAGGATCTATTTTTCTGGTTTCACAGCGTTGCGGGTCTCAAACATAAAGACACACATACAAGCACACGTATCGATACTCAACAGGAACACACTCACACGCCAACAGACCTTTTTCCTATTAATTTTTAATCGACTGAATTCACGTAGAAAACCCACAAATGCTTCCAGTGTTCAGTTTTAAACCACAGCAGTGAGATATACCGTTCTGGGGAACACATATCACTGAATCCAGTTAACAAAGTGGATGGAATATTGGCAAAAATTTTCATTTATAACATCCTTCAGCAAAGGCTTGATAGGTTACTCCTTGCGGTACTCAGGAGAAAGAGAGGCCGCAGTGTGCATGAGTGGGATAGTAGGTTGGGTTGAGGGAGTGCAGGGGGAGTAGTGCAGGGGGAGGAGCTGAGGACCAGGCAAACAGGAGAGTACATCAAAGAGGCAGAAGGAGAAGACTCCACCTACTGCAGGATCCTAAATTCTTGACTGGTGACACGGTGGGAGGTTAAAATGCACTTTATTCCTTTTAGATGAGTTTTTTTTTTTAAAGAATCACTGTCATATTTAAAATGAGGACAATCTGAATTGAAAACTGCTTCTAATGAGGTGCCATTCATAAGACCCTGCGCCTCTGAGATCCCCCCCATGGAGCTTGTCAGAGAACACAGTGTTTAGGTTGCAAAATGACATGCCGGTACCATCTGCATACTGCGACTGACACGTCTCAAGGCCAAAAAATAAATAAATAAACAAATATTCCTAAGATCATGAACACAAAATGCACATCCCTCATTTTATGAGCTGAAAACATGCAATATTGTTTGGTTTGTTCATGCATGCTGCAAACTGATGTTCATGTTTGGCAAATTAAAGGAGGTGGGCAACTGTGCACAGCTGTAGCCAAAAATAACTACAACCTATTAGAATGGAGATAATCTGTGAGGTACGGCCTGTGCTGCTGATCTTTAACCACCACAGATACCGCTGCGTTAGCCGAGTGGTTTAGCAACCAGGACATAATATAAACTTAATACATTTTAAAATGTACAGTGTGCAGCGCTTGGCTTATTTAGTTTCTTTGCAATTTCTTTGCAAAATCTGATGTTTTCAATGAAAATAATTGCATCAAAGATACAAATGCAAACATTTAGTAGTAATAAAACCAGTCTCGTTGGCTATGTTTCATGGTATGAATGGACCAAAAAGCTACTAAAAACATAAAAAAACCCAAAATAAGGAGTCTGGCATGCTGCACACATACAAGTGGCACATAGAAAAATCTAGAGCTCCCTTTCCCCCCACTCTAAAATTATTTATTGAATACATACAATTCACTGTATTCATTCTATTCATTTTATAGTATCATAACTTTTCAGGATAGATGGAGCAACAGCCACGATGCCATGCACTGAAATATGGCACACACATGCAGTTGTGATCATTATCATGCCAGCGTTTGTGTAATCAGCATCCATTAGTTACACAAAGAAAAAAAAAAAAAGAATCCCATATTCCCGATTCTTTCAGAGCCGAAATCCTCAGCGAGGGCTGCGTGAACCAAATACTGCAGTCTTTTACTGCAGCTTCACTCGAAGAGTAACTTGTTTGTTGAGGTTTTGATTTGGGATGATTCATGTGATTAAAGAATTTCGGGAGCTGCTAAGGTTGTCACATAAAAGCTAGGAATTCTTTCATGCTTTCCTCTGGTGTTCCCTCTGTATTAACGAAACGGGGATCTGTGAGCTTGGGCTGTTTTATCTTCAAATCCATCTTTTGATTGGCAGTAAAAATGTAAGAAAGGGGCTTCAGAGGCTGTGGGAGACAACAAAGACTGTTTTGCAACTGCTTATTTGACTTGATGGAACAACATAACATACTTCTTTGCAGGGCAGAAACAGCCAGTATGACACCACTGTTCATTAGAATCGGAAGTTAGGGCTCTACAGGGATGGCAGCTACCTTTGAATATGAGCTTAAAATGGTTGTAGGTGTGTGGAAACGAACTCTGTCAAGTGTCTCCGTGCTTTCTGAGCCTCGGCTGCTGAGTTCAAACCAAAGTGTCTAATTAAAGTTCAACAAGCTGGAGCGGAAAGGAATTTCTAAAGCAAGAGATGGAGGTAGAGAGAATCTGAAGTGTGGCCTGGAGCACCTCAGATTTAATGATTAGCTGTCCTCTAAAAAGTTTCAGCGGCATTAGCGATATTTTTTTGCGTGTGAATGTGTTGCTTTGTGCCTCGGTGAGGATAATTCACAACACGAGTACGAACAGCGCTTTGAAACAAAAAAATCTGTTTTAATTTTCATCAGTTTTGGTTTGTCCTGGCATGTCAGATGATTCGCTTTAAAAATGTGGACTAGACGCAAGAAAAAACACTTGCGTTATGTAAGCAACCAAACTGTGTCCACACTGATTACACAGCAGAGGAAGACAGAGGGACGTAAAAGGGAAGACACGCAGGCAGACAGAAAGAAGGGAAACAAAAGTACAAGCAGACATTTAAATGTACCGCACAGACAGGGACACGGACAGACAGACGGACAAATGAGAAAATCTGAGCCGACTCACTCATATTCTCTTCCTCATCCACATCCATGGCCACGGGTTTGCTCTGACCCGAGAGCAGCCTCGCACCCGCTGCACCTGGGGGAGGACAGGAAGGTGGACTGCATGAGCACAGACAGAATGATACACGTAAACATATTCAAAGAGCTCGGGCAGCTACGGCCATGATAAATTTCTAGCTTGATGCTTTACCAAACGCACACGCACACGCACACAGAGAACCGTGCACACATTTCACTGTGTAAGTAGCCCCTCATGTAGACATATAAATATTCAGAGACTGAGCGACATCAAGGTGAGAGAGGAGGCCAGGGCTGACAGGCCTTAATAGCAGGAGCAGTCTATTGTGACTTTAATATCCCACCGATTAGACCTCATTTCCTACTGCCTGCTGAGAGATATACAGCTAGTGACATGGCCAAGTCACTCTGCTGCCACATATACACCCACAACTTATCCCAAGGTGGAGAGTGCGATTAAAGCCCTGTTAAGCATTACTTTCACGCTAACATAGAATCAAATGGTTGCATGCAACTGAAATGTTGGCTTATACGGTTTAGGGTTGCCTTTTTCTTTTAAACAATTTTCACTAGTTTTCATTTGCGGTGATTCACGAGTGTCTGATTCCATCCAGAGAAAAAATTGTGTGGACCAATAATAAGCAGGCATTTGAAACTACGTCACCTCTCTTCATGCAGAAAGTGTGAGGAGATTAAACCCACCAAAGGACCAGCTGTCAGGGGCTGGGTCTGTGTTGTTCTTAGCTAAGGTTGTAGTTGAGTTTCAGTATTATTATTTAGTGTGTCTTAGTTGAGTCTTAGTCTGGTTTATGCTTCTTCTAGGTCTCCATGTTTATCAGTCTTTTCCTGTCTTCTGTGAAGTCTGTCTCGTTATGCCCGTGCCATCGTCTCCCTTACCTGTTTCCATTTTCCTCTCCTAGCGTTCCAGCCTTGTTGGTCTTGTGTTTTATGCCAAATGGTCCATGTTCCATTGTCAAGCTCGTGTTGTTGTGTCTTTGTCTCTCCATGTTTCCCGTGTTATTTTGAAGGGTCTAGTGTTTCCATGTTCAGTGTGTTTAGTTTCACTTCCCCTGTAGCGTCATGTTCATTTGTGTCAGCTGTGTTTCCCCAGGTGTTTCCACTGTGTATTTAAGTTCTCTGTCTTCTTCTGTTCAGGGTTGGTGCGTCTGTTGTCCTCCCTTCACGTCGCGTCAGGTTTCAGGTATTTCGTGAATCTGTTCAGGTCATGTTTCATGTTTTCTCGTCATAGTTTCTTGCAAGCTCCTCAGAATCATGTTCATTTCTTTTGGTCATAGTTATCATAAATTCAGTTCAGTCTCTTCCGCGACACCAATGTTTTTGAGAACAGTAATCTCCATATTTAGCTACTAGCTAATTTCATCCAGTCACTCGACAGGCACAGACAATAAGTAAATCACACGTATACATCACCTCCACACACAAATATCAGATACAGTTCAATAATTTAGTTTCAAAACTTTGAAATATAAAAAAGACCAAAAAACAAAACTAAAAATGAGATGTTGGACAGTTAATGTTCATTTCAAAATCCACCTTTTTACATCACATGAAAAGAAAAGGTGTAAAGGCTGAAGTGAAAGCTAAGCACGAGTCCATCTCCCTGACAAGACTTTCCAGTTCCTCCTGAGGGATCCTGAAGGTGATAGGTGACAGACTAAAATGAGATATATATAAACCTCTTCTGTGGGCTTGAGGTCCACTCTGGAATCTCCACGCAGTCGAACGTGGCTGAAAGACCTCCAGAGGGACCAGATGCCAAAAGACCACCTCAGCTGCTTCCCTGTCACAGTGGCTTCTAGCCACTTAAAAATTGTAAAGCTAATATTTATTATTCTTTTAGATGTTGTTTGGTCTCCATTCGTGAAACAATTCGCGATGCCATCTTCATCAGTTTTTCTGTGAATGTATTCTGTGTTCTGATTGCTGCTAGCAGGGTTTTTCATGCATACAAAAAGAGGTTTTGGCCTTGCCCCAAAGCAACATCACCATCACCGTGATAAAAACCCCCCCCATTTGCATCAGTTTGTTCAAGTGGGAGCTCATTTACTTAAACATAAAATGTGTTTCTGTGTATTAAATGAGTAGAAGTAGAACAGAACAGAAAACCTATCTCAGCTTTCCAGAAGCAGGCTGATTTCCACCTTGGACAGGTGGAAATCAGTAATCACTGACTGAATTTAATTTTATCAACCAGATAAATCAGTTTCATAACTACTTCAGCCTAATTGACATATTTTTCATCTCCGAAAATGTCACTTTTAGAAAACTAGGTTGGCTGGAAAGAAAAATACACCACTGGCTATACTGGTAATTACAGAATTAATAGTTGCAGAAAGTTTCAACTGTGTCACTCGACTGCACCATCAATTTCCCCACCAACCACTTGAAAACTCATAGAGCGACAGAAAATATTGCTGAGAGCAGGGCAGACGGGAGCAGCTGATGAAACAGACTAACAGACTTTGTTAGATGAGAAAAAGAGTTAAAGTGGCAAAGGGGGGAAAGGCACAGAAGCACAAAGAGACGGAAAGAAAGCAGGAAAAAGATGGCACTATGATATAGAACAGATTGTGCTGATTCTACTCTCTGCCCGCCTCCCATCAGTGCCCCCATTCCTCAGCTAGACACTTTCTTAAGCTAAACTAAATGGGCTAATTAATCTGGCCTAATGGTGGGTGACAGCAAATATGCTAGCACAATTATCACCCTATTAAAGATTCATATTCCAACCCATAATTGAAAATGAAAAGGTGGGGTGAAGGGAGGATGGGTGGGAGTAAGTCCAACCGAGAGGGAGCTGAGAGTCATTTTTCTCAGGTAGCAGAAGCCAGGTGTCACGGCCCCCCACATGCTCATGTAGCAAGTGAGAATCACATTGACACGCGAGACCAGTTAGTTACAAGTTTCTACTTCTGCACCGCACCATGCTTTATGATTTTATGATTGCAGACTTTTATTTTGGGGATTGGCCAATTGTGGGTAAATGAATTAGAGTCATTTTGTCTAAGTACAAAAACAAATTCCATTCAATTTACTTTGTCAGCCGTATTCCTCCAACACACACTGCTGTGCAGTCTAATTAGCAGGCGATGCTAATGCGTCTGTCAGTTTTGATTTTCAGATCAGACCACCCTGGCCATAAATCTTCTAAATATGTCTGTGCTCACGTCTACTCAGTAATGACAGCTTCACAAAAATAATTCATACAGTAAAAATCGACGACAGTTGTCAAAAATAACATTTGTAGATTTGTTAATGTGCCTAAAGTGAAAGTGTTACTGGCCTAAGGGAGCAGTTCAGCCCAAAATCAAATGTATATGTTTTTCTTCTGGTTTACAGTGATATCTACACATCATTTCCCAGTTTTGAAGATATCAACTTTATTAGAAATAACATGGTGCCCAAGGTCTCATCCAAAACCATGCATACTTGGTGTTTCTAAGTTAGCCACAGGTATAAATGCACGTGTTGTACTGACTCACCACATCATTAAGTTTACCTGTTAAACAAGTTCAATATGGGCACCAGATCAGGGAAGAAAGGAGACGTCAGTGATTTTGAATTTGGTGGTTGGTGGAGTGTTTCAAAAACTGCTGATCTGCTGGGATTTTCCAATAGAACCAATTACAGAGAAAGCTCTGAAAATATATGAGGACAACACTAACAGTAAGTATAAGAGCTATAACTATATAAGAGCACACTCCTGTCATCTAAGAACAGGAAACTCAAGCTACACTTCACATGGGCTCATCAAAATTGTACAACAGAAAATAGGAAATACATTTTTGGTCTTATGAATCTTGATTTCTGACTGCGATATTTGGATTGTAATTTGGCCCAACCCATGTGGAAGCATGGATCAATCCTGCGTTGTATCGTTTGGTTCAAGCTGCTGGTTTTCCAATCACCAGATCTCAATGTAATTGTGCACCGTTGGGATGTGGAGGAATTTCACACGTTTCATGGATGTGCAGCTGACAGACCTGTAATAAATGTCCATGTCCTGAGAGATGCAGATGCTTTGTAGTGTGATACACTCTATAATTAACATTATAAATGGCTTGGTACCAACTGTAACTATGCACTTTGCATATGACAGACAACTAAGTAATTTTTTACCACTGAAATGCAGCCAAAAATATGTTTTATCATAAAATAAAAATTGATTTATATAAATCTTATTTAGTACCAAGAGGATTTAAACCCCATATAGAATGAGCCAAGAAGGCTGGCAGAATATAAAAATAGGCATTCTTATGGGATTTCAACGTTTCTCTTTTAAAGATCAGACATTTTTGGACATTAAAGCCTGCAAAACTAATCTGGACATTTGCATGCATGAGGATTTACAAGACACTGGAAAAGGCAAGGTGTCACGGATTTTGGTATTGACCGTTTTTTTAAAACGCACATGACTGAAGTACAAAATTTAAAACGAACCAAAAGAATCTGAGCCGAGGGCTGCCAACTATCTGGCCTCACGCGCATAAACGTTTGTGTGTCATCAAGTCGCGAGACGGTTCGGTTCCAGGTAATTCTGAGTGGACGCCAAGGGAGGCGGGGAAAAGAGAAAGATGAGAAAGATGAAAAGCCTCAAATTCAATCTGGCATGGTGAGAGGGACTAAGGGGAAATAAGGTGGTTTTGATTTGTCTCTCATCCCTCGCTTGCACTGTGACGGAGCGATAGAGCATCGCCACTGTGGAGGGAGTACCCGCAGTGGCCGACTGATGGGAGGAGGCGGGGTGAGGGGGAAGCGGAACAGGGCGATGGAAAGGTAAAGGTGAGTGAGGAACGCAGGATGAGAGAGATAGAAAATGCAATCCTATTCCAAGTAAAAGAGAATCATTATCTCCTTCAAAACAGAAGGAGATGGAAAGGTCTGCCCTTGGCAGGCCGTGGGGTTCATCCCATTTAAAACAAACTGCCTATGACGGCTTGTGTAGGCAGATTTTCCATCATGATTTGAGGTTTCTAACCAAATCATTTTGCTTGCATGGAAGACCGACTTAATAATTAACAAAAATGCACCGTCTGA